GTGCAGCCCCCATTAACTGATAGGGTGATGATTGACATCTTCAAGGGAACTTTGACAGGAACTTTCTACAATCACCTAATCGGAAGCTCCTCACTCGGGTTCACCGAAATAATACTAACGGGCGAAAGGATCGAAGCTGGCATCAAAAGTGGAAACATCCAAGGGGTTACACCGTCTGATGCTCAGAAAAAGCCATATAATGGGAAGAAAGAGTCCAATGTTGTTTACGTCCAAAAGGGTCATAACAAGAGAAACCACGACCAACATGTGAGGGCAGTCCTGATCTCCGGTCCTGCATCACGGTGATAACCACAAAGGGGAAATCAACGAAGGCCAAACGAGCCCAAAAGACAGTTTACCAACATCAAGATACCGCTGTCTCAAGCACTATAACATTTGTTGAGGATGAACCTGATTACATTGATAGGAACTCATCCAAATCTCAAAACTTCTTCTCCTAACTAAAATCCTAATGCAACATGTGCTTATCATTTCGGCAGTCCCGGGCATGATACTAACGATTTTTTGACGCTGAAGTACAAAATTCAAAACATGATTGATTCCAAGGAGATCGAGTTTGACCCTCCAGAGACTCCCAACGTAATCACCGCTCCCATGCCTAATCATTGAGTGTTCCAGTTCATTTTTTAATTTTCAATTGTAATTTATTTTGTTATTTAAACAATTATCTATTAATGTTAAACTATGTTTCATTAATGAATTGAATATGTTTGTCTTGAATTCATCCATTCGTTTTCACTATATTAAACTATGCTTTTTACTCTCAACTATTGCTAAAAGTTACAAGCATTTAGAGGGAGGATGACGAAAACAATGCCTTAATCCCATACAGTATGCTTTTGGACAGACCTTGCTGGCGATTTATAGGTTTTCTTTCAAAATCCTAAACATTGGAGTTATAAGGAAGATAATCCCTAGTCAACCCCTTTGAGCCAAAGAAGTAAAAGTTTTCTTTTTCACACAAATTGAAACCTTTGATCAAAAACTGGGGCAGGGTAGTCTCTCAGTTAATTCAAATGTGTGTTCAGTCGCAAACTCTCATCTCGTATACAACGAGTGATATCAAAAACATTCCTCTGGAATCAAAAGACAGTGATGGTTCCCTATCACATAGGCAGTTATTATCTCTCAAAAAAGAGAAGCCCGCTAAGTCAAAACCTACAAAGGAGACTTAAGAAAAACTAAGGGCATCCCACTGACTGTGATCTCAAAAATAAGAACAGTCAGGCAAAAATCAGGGATAATTAATAAATAAAAAAAGAAGAGGTCACTACAGATCCTCGACCAACATAAAAAATATGGCAAAAAATGACTGCCTTCTAACAAATAAACTTCCAAATTTTTGAACCATTATCGAGACGTCATTTCAGACTCGATTGGAGTTCAAACGTACAATTAATTGAGTTTAGGATTGAAGAACATCACGAAGAATGGGCGGGTACAAATAAAATTTAAGAATTTATCTTTTGTTTCTTAAACTGTGAACCAAGCCACATTACAAACCTTCAAAAGTCCTAATTGAAGCATGGGTTAATTCGAAAGCTTACGGTTACAAACGGTATCCTGACTCCTGTAAGGCTTTACTCTAAATCATGAGTTGAATTTTCCTGCAAAAATTCTTTTATCTGCTAAAACGCATTTTCAAAACTTCAAAGACAAACATAAACTTTGCATTGTTTGAATATCGTTGTTCGCATATGGCTATTTGTTTGACAGTAGAGAAATTCGCACGACTAATATCCAGTGAACGAAAACCCTCTCAAAGAGCAAAATCATTTCAAGCGGGAAGACACTTCCAATAACAGATTTCCTATAAGCAAGGGGACGTAACGTGTCACTATCCAACACATCTGGGGCAGTCCAGTCAAGATTCCCAAAAATATCTCAAGAAGTGTTGAGTAACCAGGGACAAGTCTCCATCTGAACCACTTGGGGCATGAAACGTGAATCCCAAAAAAGGGTTGCGTACAGTCATACATTTCCCAGCAGTGCCACAAACACCTACTACTAGGGGCGGTAACAAATCTCCCCCGAGATCTTGTTCAGAGGAGGATCCCCAACCAGAGTTTCAACCCCTGAAAACTTCTCCACAACGGAGTCGACTTCAAGAATCCTCAAAGATTTCTGCCAAAAGAAAACTCCTCCCTGCTAGACTGGCGACAAGGTTTATTTCCCCAATAAACTACAGATTATCTAGTTTGAGTTTACCTCTCCGATTGCTACAAATCAAGGGACCACAACTCCTCTTCCCCAGTAGACTGCTCTATAATCCCCGACAAGTTACTACAAGGCCTGGAGTCCGACCAGATAACAGTTTAACTTCATTCTCCCAAGAAATTTTCTGCGAAGTCTGGAATCCGACCAGATAACAATTAATTTTCCCCAGCAAGTTACTGTAAAGCCCAGAGCCCGACCAGATAACAGTTTAACTTCACTCTCCCAAGAAATTCTCTATGAAGCCTGGAAATTGACCAGATAACAGTTAATTTTCCCCATTAAGTCGCTGCGAAGTCTGGAATCCGACCAGATAACAACTAAACTTTCTTCCTCTCCATTCAAGGGATAACACCCCAGTAGAGCAACAGACAACTGAGACTCCTGAACTTTGTTCCCCAAGAAGAGATCAGAACTCCCCACAGAGTCTTCTTAAGCAAAGTCAATGATTCCCCAGCCGAGTTCTCCTCAAACAACAAAACAAGATTCCCCAGTGAAAACATCCTAAAACAAGGTCTGAAGAAGGACATACTCTTCGTCCACAACAGCAGTCCGAGATTTCATTTCCCAAAGCTTCCCATCATTTTTCAAGGATTTATTTTCCAGATGAAGATGCATTTCAATGACATTTCACATTTCATACATCTTACTTACATACATGATAAACGCATACGACATAATCTCATTTATTTTGAGGATACCATATATTTCATGCATCATGACATTGCATACAACTAATGTTTTACCTTTTCAGGAAAAGGTCAGTAAACAAATGGCTATCATCAACAATTTTCAATAGGTCCAAGTTTAGTTTCTGAAGCAAAATGGAGCAACTACCTATGTGACCAGATGCAACTTTACACGGGCTCATCATGAAACAATCTTACATGGATTCCTATTCATCATTTAAGCAAACCTTTTCAAGTCCCAGATTGATACCTGTAACAAGCCATGAAAGCTATTTGTGGGCGACTGTTTGTAGATTAATACCTGTAATAAGCTAGGAAAGATATATACATAACTATCATGAAGTTACCCTACACAAGTTCCTTCTCCCTTCCAGATGAATTTTTACATGGACTCATCGTGAAGTTACCCTACACAGGTTCCTTCTCATACATTTCTAGATGAATTTTTACACTGACTCATCATGAAGTAACCCTGCCCAGGTTCCTTCTTCCTTCCAGATGAAGTTTTACAAAGGACTCATCATGAAGCAGCCCTACACAGGCAACCAAAGACCTTCTATGGTTAGCTTTATTTCTTCCAATTCATGACAGGTGACCAAAGACCTCCTCTGGTTAGATTCATTTCTTCCAGTTAATGACAGGCGACCAAAGACCTCATCTGGTTAGATTCATTTCTTCCAGTTAAAACATGCAAAAGACATCTCCAACAACTTTCCATCATTTCTCCCAATGGCATTTTTAAGCCCATTCCCTATGCAGTCAACTACCATATCATCGAGTGTAAATTTCTGGGTGTTGTACCCCAATTTTTGACCTAAGATCCCATTTTTATTTTTACATTCTTTTAAGATAAGTCAAGGTCACGAAATACGGTCGGTTTTAACGTCTCACCTTCGAGCTTTGACTATGCGAAGATTGTCAAGTGTTTTGAACATTTTTAGCCTATGTATCACTAATTTCTAATCGCATACAAAGGTGTATGTTCATGTTTTCTTTTGTTTCATGTGCAGAGACAGATCTGAATCAAGAGCATCAGGTGTCGCGCCCCAATTAAGGTTTTGAGTCTCCCAAGCCAGAAGTACGGTTGATTGTGGATTCTCGAAGACTGATTCATCAAGGCACACCGTTGCACCCTTAATTTCGCCCCTATTTTTTTCAGTCGCACATTCATACCATATTTTGTCATTTGGTCACAATCATTAGTAAATATCTTCATTCATCATATTTTGCATCATTAGTCGTATTTAAGTTGACCAGAAAAGTCAGTTTAAATCAAAGTTTGCATCGTCTTTTAGTTAAAAAATACCTGACATTTCACTTCATCCATTTTTATCTCTTTACTCGTTTCTTGCATTGCTCCAAGTTGTTTATATGTCGATAATAAAAATATTTTGGTTTTATAGACAAACTGTTAAAAGCGATTCAACAATGTATGAAAAATTAGCGAGAAAAATATTTCAAGTTTTCACCTTTTACCGATCATTTTATGAATCTGCATCTCGCATAGATTATGACGGTATGCTCGCTTTATTTTTTCGATACAGTTTGAAGTCTCGTTTTTAACCGTAAAACGTCTGTTTAGCCTGGTATTTTCATTATCATTTTATTCCTATTTTTACTCTTTTTGAATATTTTTTCTTTAATCTTTGTGACATGTAGAGTATTTTAACGTGTTCATTTTATTTTTTCGGACAAATTTTCGTCTGTTTCTTTATTGTTTTCGGTCATTTTAGCTCTTTATTTTTTATTCAAAAAAATTATTTTAAATTGAATTAATTTTAATACTTTCAGTTTTTATTCCATTTAAGGGCGTTTTTGTCATAAAAAAAATTAAATACACCTTGCTCTATTTCTATTGGTTGATAACTTAATTTGCGGATTAATGATTTTGAACGGTTCTGATCAATTCTTGAAATCAATTTTCCTCTTCATTGTTCTATTTAAAGGTCTCTTATTTTCTTTGCAAAGGGGGAACAAAAAAAAAACAAAAACCATAGCAATACTTTTATCTAACTATCAATCCCTATTTCTCTATTAGCAGTAATCTCTTCTTTCAATCAACCCACCTAATTCCCTTCATCCTCTCTCCACGCACAACACCATCCACCCATACAGTCCAACACTCTTTTGTTTTGCAGTAAGAAGAGACACAACATCTATAACAACGTCGACAACAAGCTGCAATGGAAATGTTAAAACCGCAGCCAATGATTCAATATAATTTGTATAAAAGTTTTCTCTTCTTTTTTTCTCTCTGCAGAAAAATTGAGAAAGCAGATCGAGACTTCATAGCACAGCCGCAAACAAAGCGAGCAAGTCCGATCCCGATCCACTCAACCTGCGACCAGCCTCGACGGCCACCGCGGCCTCACCCACGGCAACCTCACAAGCCCTTCCATCGGCCAGCATCGGCCAACTATGAATCACCGGAAATCTGTTGACATCCATCACCATCCAAGTTTCGTTCCAGTAATTGCTTTTTTTGTCGGCATCATGTTGAAAGTGTTGTTTTTTTTTTCTTTGATTTTTTTTGAAAAGAAAATGGAGACAAAGAAAAGGGAGCATAGGAAGTGAAAGAGATGGTGAAACCTTATCCCTGTTCAGTGTTATATCAGGTAGTATTAATTTTATTTTTATTTTTCTTTCCATCACCACGTGTCGGCCTAACATTGGTCCCAAGAATTGAAGACATAGAAAAGGACTATTCGTTTGGTTTTGTTTCACAGGTACCCAATTTCTTCATGTTCCATGTTCATTTGGTTATTTTAATTATTAATTAATGTGATACAATGTCTAACAAAAAAAATATATAAAAAAATATTAGTAAATCTTATTTTCAGATTTAGTTTAGTATTAACTTAGAATTTTTTTTAATTAGTTTAGATTTATTTTATAACTTTGAAATATTTAGAATCATAATTAATAAGTTTAGAATTTTAATTCAATTAGATATAAATTAGTAATGTTAGAACCTTTAATTAGTTTAGGTATATTTTGATAACTTAAAAATTTTAATTTGTTTAGATCTATTTTATAACTTTAGAACTTCCAATTAGTTTAGATACATTTTGATAACTTTAGAATTTTAATTTAATCTTAAAATTTTAATCTTTAATTTAGAATTAATTTAGTTTTGATTTAAGTTAGTAATTTTATTATTAATATAGTTTAGATTAACTTAGTAATTTTATAATGAATTTAGTTTATACTTAAACTAGTTTAGATGTAATTTAGCAACTTTAGAATTAATTTAGTTTAGACCTAATTCAGTAATATTAGAGTGTTAATTTATTTTAGATTTAATTTAATAACTTTCGAATTTTTGTTAGTAACTTTAGAGTTTTAATTTAGTTTTAGTTAATAACTTCAAAATTTTATTTAATTTAGTTAGACACTTTAGAATTTAAGTTTAGTTTACTTAGTAACCTTAGAATTTCAAATTAGTTTAGATAATTTTTTAATTACACTTTTCTTTTATTCATGATTCTTCTTTGTCCATTCATTTAATTTCTTACGATTTATCTTGTTATCTACCTTGTTCGTTTCTCGTGGATTTTAATTATTTACGATTTCTTACTTGAATATTAGATCTACCTGCTTATGATTAATTCCAAGGGAAATGTTTCAACTCAGCTGACTTCATGTCATCAAATACGCCTTCTACAATCGTGTGAATACCCCCCATTCATTTTTTTTCTTATTTACTATTTCTCCAAACTTAAGTCGATTTTCCTAAAAGATTCAAATTTCAAACTCACACCTTTTAAGTCAAAACTTCGACACTAGGTCGTCATATATTCAAAATCTCGTCCATACCCATCTTTAACCAAACAAACCATTTTAATCAAACCAACAATTTTAACCAAAAACAGATATTTCAAAAGGTTCCTGCGGAGTACCGCAGATGCATTGGGTGCTAATACCTTCCCATTGTACAACCAACCCCCGAACTCTCGATCTCTTTTCAAAATGCATTGTATTTTAATTACTTTTAAGTATTATTTTACATTGCATATTTAAGGGTTTTATTTCGCTCTTTTCCCTTTTCCCTTGGAAATAATAAAGCGCGGTGGCGACTCTTGCTTTTACGAGTCAAGTTAATTAATAGCTTGATCTCCGATTTTCACCGCTACACTGGGCACTCTAGTGTTCAATCATCTTCCACCTTCAAGTCACGAATGGCGGACTCGCCACTCTAACTCTTCAGGTTTAAGAAGATTGAACAGGGCAGCTGTTGTACCCCAAAATTTACCCTCTTATTTCTCAAGGATTTTCTTACAAGATCTTCCATGACATCAAGTTTACAGCACTGATACATAATTTAGGCTTGGAGTTGGCACAAGGGAAAAATGGTCAATTGCACACTGAAAAGTCAAACTTTGACTTTTGGATCAAAATCAAGTTCCAAGAATCATATTTCATCAAGACATGTTGGAATATGAAATTTTTTTCATCAAGAAAATCAAAAGTCAAATTACTTTGGAAAAGTCAAAATTCTAAATACTTAGAAATTTTTCTAAGTGTTTAAGAAATATGATAAGCTCAGAACTTCTGGCCAAATTTTCACCATGATACAAGCTGATTCTGGAAGAACTTCTGACATAAGAGTTGTAGATCTTAATGAGATCTCAAACATTGCAGAACAAAACTTCTCCTAGAAATACTAGGATTTCAAGTTATAAATCTTTGAAGACACGTCCATGAAACTAAAGCACTCAGTAAATTCTGGACACTTCCAAGACAGAGTTTGGTTAGAACTTCTGGGCCAGTTTTCATGAAGGTTCAACCAGAGTTTGCAAGAGTAATTCAAAGAAAGACTACGAAGCGTGTTACAAGCTTTCTGAAAAGTCTGAGAACTCCTTCAGAACATGCTGGAACAGGGAGATCCAAAGATCAGAAGTTGGATGTTTATTCTAAGTTACGCTGATACTGAACTTCTGATCCAGATTGAGCTATGACACATAATCTCATATTGCAGTATTCTATTTTGACAAATATCATCATCATTTAATGCTCACACCCACTTTTGAGTCTTTATCCAAAGGTTTTTCCCACGTATGGTATAGAAGTACCATGGTTGTCCTTGGAAAGCAAACTTTTATACAAAGTTTATGCTGGCCCATGCTTTGCTTTTTCCTCTGAGGTTAATTTTTCTTAATTCATGCTTACAAATCAAACTTAGGCACGGCTAAAAGCTGCTAACCACTATACTTGTTTAACTTAATTCAAGAACAAGTCTGCGCCCTAGCATGATGGTGGTACCCTTGACTTCTCCAAGCTACAAATCCTTGCCTATAAATTGAACTTCATTTTCAACTGTAAAGAGGTCGAAAAAATTGAAAAGAAAAGCCTTGAAACCTTGCTAAGATCTCCCAAGAACTTGAAGTTGTAGCCCAAATACAAAAACTTGCTAGTCTTTGATTTTTGCATTCATATTCCAATTTTCCTCAAGTGTTTCTCGACCAAATCATCAGCATAGTTTCTGATACACTTTTAGAAGCCTCCCTAACTTCTGTTTTCAGACTATAACACGTTCTCCATCAATCTCCACCTCAAAAAGTCACAACTTTGCTTCTTGGTTGTTCTAGAATTTTCCAGCCATTCATAGCCCAAGTTAAAGATTGTTCCAACTTACTGAGCACGTGAGGAGGCTGATTAGAATATTACAAGCAGTCAGAACCATGCTCCAGCTCACAGGACATTTTCCAGCTGCAAGGTAAGTTTTTGCTGACTCTCATCATATTACTTAAGCATTATTAGATTTGCATGTTCAAAAATACAATGTAGACATCCTGACTTTGATTCTGTACATATTCAAGATTTCATGTATTTTTGCCTAAGTAGAGAGAACTTTAGTTCAGAACTTCTTGAGGAAATTAGGATTAGCAAAATTCATGCTTGTTTCTGATTTATGGTTCTGACATCTTATATTTCTGAAACGTGATGAAAACTGCCATAACTGCTATGTGCGCATTTTTTGTTTTGTTGAGAAATGACTAAGCTACAGATGTTCTGATTAGCATGGAGAAAGGGATGAAATTCATCATTATAGTTTACTTGGTGATACATGTTTATGCTTTTGCTTCTAATACCGGATGTATAGCCACCTCAGTAGTAGAAAGTGTGTGTATAAGACATTAGTGCTAAGGGTCCTGGGTTCTAGCCCCAGAAGCATCTTGTTTAGGTTCATTTATTGACATTTTTACCCATTTATCTGTCAGACAATATTCCTATTTCAGAACTTCTAGATATCCTCACCCAATAGCATTATCACCTCACTCTCTCTAAACTTACAAAATCTCCAAACTCTCTCAACATCCAGAACATCATAGCAACCAGAACTTCCATACCTTCCAGTAACATTAGAACTTCTAGGCTGCCGGTTGCATCAGAACTTCTAGGTTTTCCTTCGTTCCCAGCAACCTTAGAACTTCGGTGTACCCAGACCCAAAATTTCTGATATTCCCCATTTCTGCTAACATTTTATTTTTGATTTTGCAGCGCATCAGAATCAGAACTTCTACCTCTTATTTCTTCACTTTCAGCAATGCGCTGATTCTGAATCTTTTTCTTTATTATTTTTATCATCACTTTTATTTTCATTAATCAAAAACACCAAAAACATTTTTATATTCACATGCTTTATTTTTATTTCTTTTAAAACAAAAAGACTAAAAAATATTTTCTTAAGCAAATTTATTTCTTCTCTTAACAAAAACAAAACAAGTCCATTTTACATTTCTTGTATATTATTTCAATATGGTTGTTATAGATAATTAGGACTTTAATTTCTTACAATACCCATTTGTAAATTTGTACACCCTCTCCCCCTAATGATTGTAATAGCATAGAATATTTACTTTCCGCAATTTATCGCTTTCATATAAATTCTAGTAAAGTAGGATTTGTATGGGAAGATAAAATCAACAAGTAGATAACCATAATCAAAGATTAAATGCATGCAAATCAAATACACTATTCACACATGCACCCTTAGGGTAATTCCACTTATTGCCTTACAAAAATGGTCATGTTATGCATGTGGGATATCTTAACAAAAACAATCAAAAATACAAGATCATAGTCCCTCGATGATGTTACAAATGTTGCCTTTCAAATGATCTTAGTCCCTCAAAGAGAAATGCTAAGACATCTTACAACATTGTTATCATGACTATACGATGATCCACGCCCGTCCCTTTACATCCAAAGATAAAGCTTCTTACCAATCAATGGTGAGGTAGCAATATCAAAGGAAGGAAGAAATGTACAAAAGACTTTTGAGTAGGTAGAATCGTTCTTAGTTGCTTGCTCACTTTTAAAACAAACATCCTTTCTCACTTTCAAAACAAACACTTTCTAAACAAAACAAATACTTTCCAAACATGAAATATTTTCAAAAGTCTAAC